TTTTTTTACATATTCCCGAATCCTTGGTGCCCATGAGGCAAAACTTTTTTTTCCTAGGTTGCTCATTTGTCTCAGCCAGCTACCAGTAACTGTTATTTCATTAGTACCAGGTTAACATACTTCAAATAATCCTTAGCACGTACGTTACTTGAAAACGTTACTTCAAAATATCTTGAAGTTAAGAGTGATTCGAAAGTGTCTTATCTATATGAAGAACATTCAAAAAGTCAGTGTTTTACTCTCCTACCATCACTCTTTTATTGATTTCTTTCTGGATTCGTCAACCTCCTTGTTAGGTGGTTCTTCCAGATTGGAATTTCAATATTGTCCGTCATCTCCCACTCACTCTGTTAGCCTATCCCTTAAGACTTATTTCCTACTCCTTGTCATGATGTAGAAGACTGTTTAGTTTAGATGTTATTGAATTACTTATTTTGTGAGTGAATATTTTATTATTGTTTAGTTTTTGTTATAATAAGAGTTAAAAGCAGACGAGTTGTGCTTGTAATTCATTGATGTTGAGATTATAGAACGTCACGTGTAATACATTGACATCAAGAATATAGATATTTCTAGAAGGCAGGCAGACGATTAAGTGATAAACATATAAATAGTGTGAGACGAGTGGAAACAGCAGATAGACAATAGCAGAAGAGAGTAAAGTTATGGGCATGGAAAAGTTCAGCATGAAGTTAACTACCGTAGAAGTGATAGGCCTAACGATTAACATAGGCTTAATGTTTAATTTGTTAGAGCAAGACTAACAGTAGAAAAAGAGATAAGAAGAAGAATTATTCTGTCAAAGCATGGTTGTAAAGTAATTGAATCAGCCTGAGTGCACTTTGACAAAAGGAACAGAGGATATTTTGAAGAAAGAAGACCAAACAATTATGGTAACTCGTGCCACAGAACTTGCAGAAGTAAAAGAAGTAAAATTCTAAAATTTACAATATAGTGAAATTAATCATTTAATTCAAAACAACTTTGGTTTATTTTATATGGGAATACTTAAGTGCTGTATGTACATGCAAATTTAAAAAACTGATATTTATAATACTTAGGAATAAACAGGTTAAGAACTATGTGTACATATATAGATTAAAAACACTGAAATTTGCCATATCTTGAAATAAACCATTGATGTACATGTTCTGTCAATATACATACATATGAATTGAACCAGTTCATATTGAAAACATCTTGAACTAAATTAATGAACTATATGAAGATGCAAGTTAAGCTTGCTGATATTTATAATAAACTACTTAAGAACTATGAGCATACAAACCGAACCAAGTGTGATTTTCATTATCTTGAATGTTTCTTTTGCTGTTAAGCACAAAATTACACAATGGATTATCTGTGCTGTGCCCACTGTGTGTATAGTTTTTAGCAATATAAGGCTTGAGCTTGCCACTGAATCACTCGGGGACTTATTACATTGAATTACATCACTTAAGAACTATGTGTGTATATATAAATCAAACGAAATATACTGTAATAAGGTTGTATAGAACTAGATTCATGTGTAAGTGAAACTGGTTAAACTTGCAATACATGGAAATATCATTGGAGAGCTGTAAAATAAACTTGAGAACTGAACCTATATCTGGGGTCAGTGACTAGCTGACAAGAAAGCTAGTGATCATGATTATGAATATTAAGATCACCTGTAAAGAGTGGTAAAAACAGCATGTTCAAGCAGTATTTGCTTTCTTATTATCATTACATTATTTTTTCAATTTCTTTTATTGCAAAATTACACAATATGCTGCCTGCTGTCCATTCATAGCAGGGAATTGAACCCCATACTTAAGCATTATAAGTCTATAAAACTTAGGGCTGACCAACCAGGTGACATAAAGGAAAGTAATTATTATCACAAACATAGGTTTAAAGTTTGGTAGTATACTAGAGAAAATAAAATCAAAAACATATCTCTTCCTGGAAATTAGTCCATTGACTATTTCTGTCATTAAGGACACCAACCCCTGAATCCTTTTTTTCTTATTTTTTTTGTCAGAATAGCTGTTACTTTTGCAAATAACTTTTGACGTAAATGCCAATAGGAGGATAATATCTGTCCTCCACCACCATGATCATACAGCAATTTTTTTCAGGATGCTAAGTCACTGAACCTAAATCTGATTAAGCATGTGTGGAACTTGCTAGGGAGAGCAGTTAGAGAAAATCTGCTCTTACAACTAATGTTCCGGAAGATCAGAGCTACTCTTATCTAGTTTGATGCTCCAGCAAGTCATCCAAAATTTCATCAGTAGTATGGGGAACAGGTGCAGAGAAGTCATAAACATTAGAGGAGGAAATACCAGCTACTAAAGGCTTATTTTGTTAAGTTTGTTCATCTCAATAAGTTATATTTTATATGATATTTGTGCAGCCAAATATTGGCATTTTTCATTAATATTGCTTTTTTGTTATATGTAAATGCATTTTTTGACTTGCTTGGTATTGTTTACCTGTGATATTTATAATAAACAACTTTCCTCAGTATTGAATGTCTCTCTGTTTATCTTAATTCAAAGTTTGAAAAAACATATCAAAACTTCATAAACCTTTAATTTTGTGAGTAGTG